TCGAGCTTTTTTTTAATGATGAAAAAGCTTTTTTCTCGTTTTATCTGTCAAGACCTTGGTCTGATATTTTCCCGTACAGATCGAGCAAGCGAGGTTAATAACTTGTTTATTATATGGCTTTTACATCRTAAATTATGTAGAAGAACTACTCAAAGTATATAGGAAAAGTCTTACTGGTCAACTTGCAGCCCGTTGCCTCCCTSTATCAGATAGCACCGCTTTTCTCAAATATCTTCTCTCACGATATGAGTAAAATGACACGGAAATCATCATATTTTCAGTAATTGTCGGCTAAAAAGACGCGGATTTTGGCTCCTTGTTTAATAGATTCAGTTTATTTTCACRCACAAATACATTATCATTACAGTTTTGAGTAGTTTGTGACTTATGTTCTGGCTTCTTTGAGCTTTTACAACTTGACAGTTTTCTTCCARTATAATCCTTTTTGGGCTATCTTTAAATTGTGGTGAATACTTATCGAGTATTTCTAAGCTGGATTGATGCCGTTGTCATTGAAAACAACTGTACGGTCAACTCGGAAAAGAGCGGGAAAGTCAAGTGCTATAAGACGCGAGCGCGGACAAAAAGGCRGGAGYWGTTGAAATTGAACCATCTTTCTTTCAGATCATTTTTTTATTGCAAAGAAAGTTAAAAGTCTGATAAAYAAAGTCGTCGTGATTCCCTCGGTCCAACTTATAAATATGGAAGTTGGACTGATACCATAGCAACGGTCCAATACGGCTATGGACGGACCGCGCGTCAGCCAATCAGAATTCAGGAAATTTACAAGCCATATAATRAATATAGGTATTTCATAGATTTTTTACATTTTTTTTTATTTTTACGGTAATCATTAAAAAAAATGAAATGAAAAATGAAATGATTAGGTATTTCATAGATAATTATTATGTACAAGGATGAAAATATAGATGTTATGAAATTAAAACATTGAAAAACGTTTTCGACTATGAGTCATCTTCAGTTGTGTCTAAAAATTTACATAGATAATTGTTATGATAAAAGATAATATCCTAATGTTTAGAAATAATTTACTTAGAATCCTATGAGAACTTTGAAACAGCTAATGCAAAAACACAGGTAAAACGATACCCAGATGGCTAACGTGGAAAATTTGTGCTTGCATTTTATAATCGTGAAGGCCGTAGAGGCCTGGGTACGGTAAATAGTTTCAGCTGCAGTAGAGGTGCGGTACTTTAGAATGGCGTAACAACTGAAATTAGGTAAAAATACCTTTAGTGAATTTAAAGGTGCCTGCAGCAATTTCTTCAATTAWTATCTAGGATCACACACGGCGCTCTCTGGAAAGAAGCCTATTTTACATATATAATTAATTTTGCTATTTTTATCACGAAAAGAATTCTTTATCAAATATTTATATATTCTTATTTTAGCCTAGTAATCAATGTAGATGTTATTTAATAGATAATTACTAAGGCACAAAGCATTCGTAGGTATAATGCAGGCAGCTGAGGGCGCAAATTACTGATATTATCAAAATCCAATTTAAAAGTCGTGAATTTATTTATCTCAACACAATAACTTAATAAATTGTCACAAAATAGACTGAGTAGCTGCTAAAAATCATCAAAATCAACGAAAACATGCAAAATTGTGCCAAATAATAGATTCAAAACCATATGAGCGTGCGTTGCCTTTTCAGTATTTGGAAGTAATAGATCAAAAACGAGTGCGAGTGTTTCATCAGGGGATCCAAACACCGAGACACAGATGAAAGCACGCGGCCGAAGTCCAAGTGCTTTTAGCGTTTCGAGATGTTTGGATTCTCCTGATGAAACACGAAGCACGAGTTTTTGATCTGATTTCTCAAACAAATTGATAATGAATGACTTCAGCTGGCAAATTTCTTAAAGACCCATGTAATTGGATTTATTCATCAGTCCTATTTTGGGTACGAATAGAATGAAAGTGGCATCATCAATCGCTATTATATATATATARACCCCAAAAGAGAGAGATTTGTAATAAATTTGTAGTAGTTCTGTTTATTCAGTTCAATTTCATAAGTTGAAATGGCGGAGGCAACCTCCGCGTGCGAGATCCAACAACTTGAGAAGAAGATGCTGAGTTATTGTCAAAAGCTACGCCACAATCTACAATACAAAACGAAGTGGGCCGTGGAAATTTTCATGTCATGGCAATATAAATGTGTAGACATTACGAAAAACCAAGTACAAACGTATGCAAGATAGTGTCAAACGTTCTCGGACATGTCGAATCGCAGCCTGTGGGTTCGACCATGACCATACCCACGAGTACATCAACAGTACCCGGCCGGTCAGAAGGCGACAAGAGGGAGAAACGCATATCATCCAATGCTCCAGTAAACCCAGTGATCAATTTGTCATAAATGTGTATTACAAAAAACCTCAATAAGAAATATGTATGTTCAAATATGAATGAAGTATTCATAGAATAAATATAAAGAATAAAAGATGAGTACAAAATATGCAAAATGTGTACACATCTCTATAAGAATGAAAAAAACTGACCATTAAATGTACCGTGGACAACTATAAAGTATAATCGCTTCTTTAGCAAATATAGATCTATCGATTTTCTACGTGTAATAAGTTAACATAGCCACAAGGAGAAATATAAATAATACGTCAAACCCAATACTTTCAACAAAATCATCACTA